GAAAACCAATCACAAAGAGTAGGCTACTTTCTTCATTTAAAAACATGAGATACAGTGGGATGGGGAAAAACCGCCATAACGTCTTTAGACATGTTTTTTTTAAAGTTTAACTTGCATTAATTTTACATGGCTTTCTAAACATGCGGCTCTCTTGTGCGAGACGCGAGTGCAACGCTGATAAATGTCCCTCTAGAAAATGTGATAAATATATGCGTTCTGTGTGAATGGCTTGGTTTCAGTTTTGACGTAAACAACATCTTCTCCACACTGATGCTCTCGTTTTCCGCAATATATTGAATGAACAATGTAGCAGCGCCGCATCTAGTGGGTTCAACTGGATAGGCTAACAAAAGCATTCAAATGCAATCAATGACACTTACATCGTCATCGCATCTCGTGCGCCACTGATAAGGCTGCCTGACGGCTGACGCAGACCTTAAATTCGAATGCAGCGTTTTTGTTTTGTTTTTTAATTCGACGAATATTCGAAATTTGAATTTTTTTTTTTGACAGCCCTACTCAGGTGTGCATTATTTTCTAATAATTCAACAAACTGGAGTCATTTATTCTGCTTATACTACAGTTACCACATCTCAAGACCTTGTTCAGATGATGCATTTCAAGACATTCTGGAAAAAAAACACACATTGCATACAAAAATAGGAACCCCATCCAAACTGTAAAGTTGACAGTGGAGGAAGTGTAATGGTTTGTGGCTGATTTGGTATTCATGAAACAGGACGGCTTGCCATCACCGAAAGCAGCAGAAATGAAACGATTCAAAGTCCCGACTCTAAACCATTAGAACTACTGCTAAAGATCACAGACAGTTCATCTGAGTGAGACCACCAACACCACTCGGTTCTTAATGGAGAAATGGGGTTTTGGTTGCTGTTACTGCTGCTCAGGTTGCTCAAACCAGACATTCACTCTAATGACCTTTAAGTTACTTGTCAAATTGGGTTCTTTATTTAGTTATAAGACATCTGATCGTCAAGTAACCAAATATGGAAGGAGATGTCGATTCCCAAGGTGGTTGGCAACAGCTGGACTGTGAATGGACAGGAGAGTGTGGAGGGAAGTGACGGATCAGGAAATGAACTAGGAGAGATGGAAGTAGGTGGCGGGATGTATGAAAAATGGGAAACGGCTAGGAATAATAAACGGAAAAAGAAAAGGAAAAAGAAAACAGATGAAAGTGACTCAGACAGGGGATCGACTGTGGAGGAGAAGCGGAGAGAGGAGTATGTGGTTTTTGCAAAACTTGTGGACGAAGGGGACTCATTTGGAGGTATGAATCCAATACAGCTAACGAAATCTCTAAATAAGGAAATTGGTGAAATAAAGAGTGCTAAAGTATTAAGAAATGGAGCACTGATGATTATGTGTAAGGATGAAAGACAGCAAGGGAAAGCAATCAAAATGAACATAATAAATAGAAAGAAAGTAGAATGTTCTATGACTTATAGGAAATTCACAAAAGGAGTCATTACAGGGATTCCGGTAAACGTATCAGTTGAAGATGTGAAAAGAAACATAACAAATGCAAAAGTAAATGAAGTCAGACGTCTAAAAATAAACAGGAATGGAAACACCCAAGACAGTCTCTCGGTTATGATCAATTTTGATCTGGAGAAACTCCCGGAAAAAGTGTATATTGGATTTATGTTTTTTTTTTTTTTTTTTTACTAAAATCTGTTTGTTTTTATTTATTTATTTATTTTTAGTTATTTCTTTTATTATTAATAATATGATTAATGTTTTTTTTTTTCACCTTCTCGCATTATGTCAATCCCATAAGCACGTATTCTGTTCCACACTCCAGTCCAGTCGGTGGCGGTAATGCACCTACAAGTTAGTTTGCCAACCGCCAATAAACACCAAAGAAGAAGAAGAAGAAGAAGTAGTAGTAACCAAATATATGCAGAATTACAAAGTGTTCAAGGCTTTCTAGTGTGGTTGCAGGTGGATGAAAATGAGGAAGAGGGTAGTTTACCTCGAAAGGCTGGTCTAGGCTGAAGGGCACAGAGCAGGTACACGCACTAGTGCTGTTCCAGCTGTAGTTCTGCGAGCAGTTGAAACACGGACTGAACATGTCCACACCAGTGTAGTCGATCTACAACAGACCCGAGACTGAGTTACAGTACCACACGACACGTGATCCGCCGTACATGACCACAGAGCCCTGATAACGCAGTATGGTGTTGCTATGGCGACGGTACGCACCTCAAACTCTTTGATGTTGTTAGAGGTGACGAGGAGTCCGATGCCGATGGGGATGAAGATGAGTCCGATCATGAAGAAGGCGGGCAGGACGGTGCCCGCGGTCAGAATGGGCTGCCAGGCGGGCAGACGTTGCTGTTTAAAGGCCGTGTTATCGGGCTTCTTGCTCTTGACGGCGCCCGGGCCGCCGGAGCCCACCGCGTCCTCATCCTTCGCGTTATAGCTGGCCGCCATCATCGCTCTTTAATCCTCTAAAGCCGCGCGGAGAGCGAGCACACTACACGACAGCTTCAAATATGTCGCCTTGATTGACAGCTGTGCGTATTATATCGCTGCTTATCGCGCCATTAACTGCAATAATGATAATTTCCGCAGCTCTGTTGGCCGTGGACAAGAAGATAAACAAGGAAGTGCAGCAGCCAGTAGACTGACAGCGACGTCGTGACGTCAACAAGTGACGCCCCTCCCCCAACGTGTCATTTCTGCAGTGTAAAGAAAAAAAAACATAGACAACTTAAATGACAAATGTCTTGTCCAGATACTAAGTCAGCATTAATAGTGCTGCGTTGTAACTGATTATTACATGCAATCTGGATTACGTCCAAAAATTAAGAAGTAGCCTATTGTAATACATTTTTCAGCAGACCCTTAACACACAGTGAAGTAAATTAATTATTTCATTAATTGATTTATGTAATTATTTAATTAAATAAGTGTTTTCATTAGAGCTGTATATAAAAACCAGCAGGCAAGAGTAGTGTTATCAGTCAGGAGAAGCAGGTGGATTTAATTATATCGTAAGCACATTTTGTTATTTTTAAGGTATGTAATTTTTACACATTTTTTTTTTACTATATAGCCATCTGTGTTAAAAGGAAGTTATCTTTTGTTTAACCCACAACATCTGGCCCTGAATTCTTTATTTTTTATTTTCTTTATTATTCTTTATTTCATGTCACATGATTAACTGGCAACCAGAAGTGGTTCATGGGTTCACTTTGAGATCAACACCCCCTAGTGGTGAATTCAATTCAATTAAATTCAAGTTTATTTGTATAGCGCTTTTCAGGATACAAATCGTTGCAAAGCAACTTTACAGCTTTTAGCCAGGTTTCAGTCAAGCAGAGTACATCAAAACTATTATCTGTGATCATTTCATTTACAATAGCTGCTTTTAAAACATGCAATTTATTTCCCAGCTGTTTACCTTCACAGAAATAACTGACTGTTTTTGTAACTCATGTGTGTTTTTAACGTAAACTTGTGTGTGAATGAGAACTTAGTTTAGTACTCACATGCTGTGACAGCCGCTTTCTGTCCGTGTGCTTCGGATGTGTGCGCTCTGAAAAAAGTATATCAGAAGTTTAAACTAATATGGTTTAAAACGCATCATTTCAGCGCGTTAAACATGATAATCAGAACATGATTATGATTAATTGCAATTATTTATATGAGCTGCCAGTAGTAACTGTAGCAGAATTAAATTGCCATCAACTAATCTGTTCGTCCAGCGAACATTTAATGTAATTTCATATCAACTCTAAGAATGGATATTTTCATGGCCACAGAAAACAACCTTCTTACAGTAGCCTAACAATACATTAGACTAGAGCATGTAGCAAGGATCAAAATCGTAAAGGGACATTATTCACAAGCAGGATCAGAAACTCATGTAATCTGTGCACAAAAGTTTTATTAACTAAATGCTAACACACAGAACTAATCTAAACAAACAAACAAACAATCACTCATACAGTACATGGGGAAAGGGCAAATGAGCCTTGATGGATGAAACCATATAACGGGGTCTATAGCTTATACTAAACCTCTGTTTCGTTTAGTTAAATGTACGATACTTGCATTGCCTTGGTCGTTAACGAGTGTCCGGATGCAGTCTCGGATGAAAGTCTTGATGGTTTCAAGGTTTTGGACTTGCGATCACGTTCTTCCAGGTGTGAAGAGTGATGAATTCCAAAGATGTTCTGATTCGATGGTGATTGGGAGTTTCTTCCCAGTGGAAAGTGAAAAATAGCTAAGAGAGACATCAGCTGAGATCCTAGGATCTTTGGTGAATGGAAAGTCAAGGCCGAGGCCTGGCACGAACTTAGGGTGTCCTTAGAAGACCAGCTGAGCATCCCCATCTTCTCAGGATCTAACAAAACCGCAGACTGGCAAGGGCTATATGTTGGAGCCCACTGAGCCCGCACCGGCTCAGGCTCTCCACACGGGCAGCAATCAGAAGATTTAGCAGAAGACCCGGGTGGAACTGTGCATGAGCCCTTTAAAGTCTGAAAAGATTCACGCCTCTCAGCATGGGCTTGTCCAATGAGAAAGGCTGAATTTCCAAGCGGGAGGTTGGAAATACTGGGGGATTTTATGACCCTTTGTCTGAGAGCATGGTAATTTGCATTGGGAACTGGATTGGATGTTGATATGCAAACTATTAAAGATTCTTAGAACACTAATATGTTGCATAGGTATCCACATATAATATAAACACTCATTTAGATCCTCAGAAGATAAATTCAAAGAGACCAAACATGGTATCGTTGGGGTTATATTAACTAGTGATCTATCATAATACACACACAAAACAGTATACAATTCAAAAGACAATATACAAGAACAGTAATGGTATACACAATGTCCTGAGGAGATGTGTGTTCATTCACAGAAAGGTTTTTCTATGAATTAATTAGAGAAGAGTCCATTTTTATGGGCATTGTGTGTCTTTCCTAAGGGTAAATGAATTGAGAGTTGCTCTGCCCGCATTCCTTTGAACAATAAAACTAGTGTTATCAGCATTGGTTGCCATGGAACCAGAGGCCTGTTCTGCCTTTTTGAGGCGTTAGCCGCATTTCGGGGGAAGGGTCCATTGAGCCCTCATAGTTGTCTTGTTGATTGGGGGGTGTTACAGAGTATTTGTTAAATATAACAAATATAATATAACTAATATAAATATAACTGATTGGTCCAGACGCTACATGTGCATGGCTTGATTCTCTGCATTTGTTTCCATTTTAACTCCTGTGGTGATTCCCAAAGCTCCAAGCACAGCTTTTCCAGTTTTCATCCCCCGAGACACTGGAATACGACTGAGCCCTGATCGTGCTGATGGGACATCAATGATGGGCTGTTGTTGAGTAACAGAGAGGAAAGGAACAGGATGTAATTTTTGGCCTTTTTAAAGTATTGTTTAATCATATCCCCACATATATGCTTTAAATGAAACACTTACCACTGAGAGTGTAGGTCTGGCTGGTGCTTTAGTGACCTGTGTGATGGTGATGCTGCTCATCGCTTTGCTAGATGTTGATTTGCTGGCAGTCACACTGTGTGGTGAGTGTAGCACTGTTCCGGTAGAAACTTCATTACACTCAGATGATACGACAGTAGATTTAACCATGACGACTGAGCCATGATCAGTGGTCTTCTTGAACTGTGATCCTAAGTGAATGTGAATCTTACTGTCTTCTGTGGTCATGACATTAACATTTGACTTCTTGATAGGTGTGGGGGCCATTCGTTTTTCGGGAGTCTCCTTAAATACAGCTCTACCTGTTATCATGTCCACAGATTCTTGGGAGCTGCTGATGGATGCAGTGGATACAGGAGATAACGATTTATCCATAGAGGGAGACCTCATGATCTCTGCACTCTTTACTCTCGAGATGGAGGCAAAGGTCATTGGTGATCTAACTCTTTCAGGATTCTTTGGCTCTTTGGTTCGTTCATTTGTAGGAATGATGGTCGTCTGGGGGCTCTGAGTTTGTGATAGTTTGGCAGAAGCTTGTTTGGTCAAGTCCTCAGACAGGCCAATGCAATTCTGTAAGGTTGCTTCGTTGTTCTGAATATCTGGGATCACCTGAGCGTGCAATGGATGGTCATACTTTTGGGACATACTGACTTCAGAAGGTGCAACCTCCCCACTGGTATCCAAAGATACTTCAGAAGCTCCGCTGTCTTTCTTCCTCATCCAAGGAATCCAGGACTTCTTCACAGTATAGTCACTGACTGCTGGAGGATAAAGTTCACGCACTGTTGGTCTCTGCGCTGGCTTCTTTAAGCTCTTCTGTTGAAGACTACTCATGATCCGATTCTCCTCTTGGACAGACTTCTTGATAAATGCAGCAGGTGTGTCACTGTCAGTTGTCCTATTTTCAACTGAATCAGTTTGTACTCCAGTTGACGTCACTGGAACATCCATCATCCGGCTTCCTTTGGTGCTGGGCCGTAAAGTGCGGCTGTAGCACTTGGTGACCTCAAGTTCTTTGGTAAGGTTTAGAACTTCAGTGCTTATGCTCTTTTTCTTGTCTTCCTCCTCTAGAAACCTCTGATGCAGAACAGAATAATCCACCTGTAGCTGGGATAGCTCGTCTTCTTTGTTCATTAGCTCATGAATCTTCTCCTTCAGGGCTTGCACATCTGCTTGAAGGTCTCTGGTTTTGGCCTCCTCCATCATGAACCGACATTTCAGTTCAGCCTCCTGACAGCCTACCTCACCTTGCTCTATTACCTTACTCAATGCTGTTTGACTTATTTCTTGTACCTGCTGTGGGAGAAAATGTGCCCTTTCTTTCTCGGTTGCTAACAAATCATACTCTGGTTTGTTCAGGTCTCGCTCAATGGCTTCGAGCTGTTGAAGACGGTTCTTCAAACTTTTAATTTCCAAAGTCAACTCCTTAACTGTATTCTCATCTTTTCCATGTGCATTTGAGACACTCTGCAGGTCCATCATCTTTTGAAAAGATTTCCTTTCTTCTTTGTTTGTGGTACTGTGTTTCATTACACCATACTTGGCGCTCAGATCTTTACACTGTTCTTCTGCTTTAGTAAGCTTTCGCTTTATTTCATCTCTCTCCTTTATAAGAGCAGCTACCTTCAACTCCATCTCTGACTTTAGTTTCAGACGCTTCTTGCTCTCCTCTATTAACCTCTCAGTAACCTCCATGACTTTCTCCTGCTCTGCCTTGTAGAGTTGGTTCAGTTCATCTCTCTTCTTTTCCTCAGACCTAATTCTGTCTGTCATGTTCTTGTGCTCATTGACCATTATTACAGTAACTGATTTAAGTTTCAAAATATCCTCTTTTAAATCTAATTCATCCTTTTCCAATTTCAGCTCAGATGATTCAAGCTCCTTCATATGGATTTTAACGCTCACAAGTTCGTCTGTTAGGTCTTTAGTCAAGCTTTTCTCCTTTTCCAAAGCTGCCTTCAACTGGGCACATTCTGTCCTGCCCATGTTGAAGGTCATCTCTAGTGTCTCTAACTGTGTCATTCTCTGTTGCAGTTTTTCCACCTCTAGCCTCAGGTCCTTATTCTGAGCCTCCTCAGCCAGTAGCATCTTCTTCAACTCATTGCATTTGTTCTCAGTTTTGGTGATCTCTTCATCTTTACCCTCCATTTCCAGAATTCTTGTACGCAAAGTCTCAAGTTCTGC